AAGCAGTCAAGGGTACTAAATTGAGGGTAAGCAATGACGCGGGCATGCATGTGAGCGATGAGCGCACACAGGCAGAGGGTCTGGAATCCGAAAACAAGATCCGAATATCGGCTCATCACACTACAAATGTATGTGCTGCCTAGAGTCTGGCCATGTGCCAACGCACTAGACAGGTCAGGACCGAGAAAGTCACCGAAAAACTCCCCGGCAGTGTTAATGGAAGAAGCGCTTTTTTCTGGGGGGGGGGGGGGGGGAGTGCTGTCAGAGCCAGCGTAGCACGCGTTCCGGGGTGTTGGCGTGCTCCGCTGGCGCGCCAGCCGCCCTCGAGCCATCGTCTGGGACGCCTTCGTGTGTGGCCAGGTGCGAGTACCAACCCGCGACGACGGCACCTGCCTCTTCTGGGAGTTCGCCACGGACAGTCACGACCTGGGCTTCGGGCTGTTCTTCGAGTGGGGCGCCTCAAAGGAGCGTCAGGTGACGGTCCACGTCAGCGAGGAGGAAGGCCCCATGGAGGACGGTGAGTGATAGTCCGCAGCAGCAGCGATACACCCCTCAGGGTGAATGTCTGTTCCTGCGTGCTCTCTCGTCTGTGTGGGCGCGCCCCGTCTGCGGGTGCGCGCTCGTGACCGGGTCACCTCGGTCCGGCAGCGGCGGCACAGCAGCCGGAGCTGGTGTCGCGGCGGGCTCTCTCCTGCGTGGTGCCCGTGTACCGGCGCGACTGCCACCAGGCCGTGTACGCCGGCTCGCATCGCTACCCGGCCCAGGTGTGTGACGGACAGGCGGCCGCCGGGCGCAGGAGCGCCTTCGTACGGAATTGTGGCGTCGCTTTAATATGCCACATATTTAATTATGTGGTATTGTCATTGAATTATGTGCCACTGTCGCGCAGACGTTCATTTCGTATGGACTGGCGTTTTGCTGCGTATGGCTCAGTAACGGCAGATGCAATAGCTGAGGCTGTTTGGCGTCCAGATCTCCCTCGCAGATTCCAGCGGAACGGAGGCGGGCAATGTCATGGCTAGCAGCTGGTCTCGAGTCCCACACCTTATGGTTGTGGGGCGAATGCTCTTCCATCTAAACTGCATCGTCCCCTGATGCTGCAGTCGAGTCGAGCACTCCGAAACATGTGACGTGTGGCTTTGCACGTCACGTGTTGCGGTGACGCGTGTCTTCGCGAACGCGATGTTTTTTCTATTAAGAACGTGGGGCACCAGCTACAGACCTCACTGCGGGTTCAGGGCATCTGCTCTTTCGACAAGGAATGTATATTTGAACGCGCCTACGCTCACACGACTGGGGATCGGGATAAACACGTACCGCGCTCCGCGTGTATGACGCAATGACTCCTTTTTTAGCAGCCACGTGGCTGCCTGAATGTGGCCATGGGCTTGATGAAAAGAGGGTCGGTAGATCATTCACCACAGTCTGCGCCCACCGGCGACCTTGGTGGGGGGTATGCCAGTCACTCGAGCGCAGCCAATCCGCTGTGGCGAAGGCCTACCATGATAAACCCTGGCCAGTGATAAATCATATGATTTATGAACCAAAACAAAGAGCCGTCGTCTTTTTACAGTGGTTCGCGGTAGACTGGGGCTTATGGACGTACTCGAAGGTCCGTGCTCTTGTTATTTCATTTGATATATTTTTACAGTCGTAAACAGTTTTTGCGCATTAGCAGCTTATTTTGCGGCAGCGGCGTGACCTATCCGAGGCCGTCGGTACGGGCAGAGGTGAGCGCAGTGTGACCCGCCCGACCGCGACGTGGCCCGTCCCCGACCGACGGTACGGGCAGAGGTGAGCGCAGTGTGACCTGTCTGAGGCCGTCGGTACGGGCAGAGGTGAGCGCAGTGTGACCTGTCTGAGGCCGTCGGTGCGGGCAGAGGTGAGCGCAGTGTGACCTGTCTGAGGCCGTCGGTACGGGCAGAGGTGAGCGAAGTGTGAGCTGTCCAAGGCCGTCGGTACGGGTAGAGGTGAGCGCAGTGTGACCCGCCCGACCGCAGCGTGACCTGTCCGAGGCCGTCGGCACGGGCAGAGGTGAGCGCAGTGTGACCTGTCTGAGGCCGTCGGCACGGGCAGAGGTGAGCGCAGTGTGACCTGTCTGAGGCCGTCGGTGCGGGCAGAGGTGAGCGCAGTGTGACCTGTCTGAGGCCGTCGGTACGGGCAGAGGTGAGCGCAGCGTGACCTGTCCGAGGCCGTCGGCACGGGCAGAGGTGAGCGCAGTGTGACCTGTCTGAGGCCGTCGGTACGGGCAGAGGTGAGCGCAGTGTGACCTGTCTGAGGCCGTTGGTACGGGCAGAGGTGAGCGCAGTGTGACCTGTCTGGGGCCGTCGGTGCGGGCAGAGGTGAGCGCAGTGTGAGCTGTCCGAGGCCGTCGGTACGGGCAGAGGTGAGCACAGTGTGACCCGCCCGACCGCGGCGTGACCTGTCCGAGGCCGTCGGTACGGGCAAAGGTGAGCGCAGCGTGACCCGCCCGAGGCCGTCGGTACGAGCAGAGGTGTGTGCAGCGTAGCGTGCCCATGGCCCCGGCTGCGATGCCGTGTGTGGCGTGACTGGTCCCAACACCCCTGCCACACAGTCACAGCTCTACTCAAGACCAGCCAACAAGACAAAAAAACAAAAAACAACAAAAAACACGGGTCCATAAATGGGTGCATTGTGTTGTAGGGAAGGGCCAATGGTGGCATCGCTGCCGAACAGTTCAGTTGGTCATTTTGGGTAATGCGTAGTTGTGTGGCCATTGATGCGCGAAATAATACAAAAACACGTATTACATTCAGTATTAGTCAAACAGCAACAAGCTGTGCTACACTCAATATGAGCCAGCTCAACGTCAGAGCAATTCGTAAGAATTGCACAGCAATGGCGACTGGCCGATTCATGCGTGTAAACTTGAGTCCGTTAGAATGCTTGAAAGTTCACAATCACTACACTCTTTTCTCGCGACGGGCACTGCAACGGACCTCGAGGTTCGTTTGCATCCACCGCCCCGCGGGGTGGCTACGCCGCTGTGACATCACGGCGTAGCACATCATTTCCCTAAGCTCCAACTCGAAGCTAGTCCCTACTGTTTCTACTGAACGTGCACGTGTCGGTAACCACGTCCACGGTTTCATAAACAGAGTACCATCTGGCTGAAAATGCGCAGTTCAAAACGGTGCAACGTAGGAGGCGACATATGATACGGCTCTACTGCGTCAACTGGAAACGAGTAGAGGTGAACCGCTTACAGTGTCCTGTGAAACGGGGTCACCTCACTGCGCTGCAAACCCCGGTGACCCGCGCACCAAAGGACCGACCTCTGTGAACGCAAACACGTGTAGATTTGGTAAGACCTTTACGGCAACTGCAGATGGCGCGTGCATGTTTCAAGGTGGTTACTAGAATAAGCGGAGCAGAGTATGCACACTTACGCGGCGGGCTCCCGTGCACCAAACACGCCAACACCGCCATCTTGAGGTCAGCTCGGTTTGTGGCAAAGATGACTTAAGAGCACTGCCCATTGCCATGTAGATGGTCAGCATTTAAAAAGTTGGTAGCAGGAATGGGGGAAGTTTGCGTAGGCTCAAATGCTTTCCGATTTGTTGCTTGCAAAACCGACCTTGAAGTCAGTAAATAGGTGTGAGCGTTGATGCGTGCGTTTGGGGTAAAGCTGTAAATTGGTGAGGAACAGAAGCGAGAGCTGGCAGTGTTTAAGTCCCCCTTGCTGCTTGCAGGCAGGCTGTCAAGCTGAATCCGATGTAGCTGACAAAGTGATCGATCGTGTTGGTACCTTCTGGGCCTATATTTTTATTGTCCCTTCGAGCCTCGCTGATTTTGCCCTTCCTTTTGGTGTTATGTCATACTCTGAAGCATATGGAAGGTGCTGCGATTGTGATTAACGATGCAGGTTATACCCCATTCGGATGATCAGGCATCGGGGCGAGTAATATGTGGTGCACAAAAACACGGGAGATAACGTGATGGCGCGAGTGGACATGCACGGCGCTGGGGAGAGCCAAACATAGATTTATACAGAAGCAGCAGGAAAGCGACTTAAGACAGAGAAACAAATTATCTGTCAAGTCTGTAAGCTTCCTTGAGCAACACCAGCGCTTGTCACGGCAGTCACCTCACACCGTGGCAAGTGGCCCAACGGAACATGTGAAAGACAGAGCACAAAGGTGGAAGCTTAGGTGGTCCGCTTCCACCGAAACCCGTAATGGTAGCCAGTTGTCATTGTGGCAACGTCTGAGTCCTTCGCATAACGGCCGGCGGCATGGCGCAGAAGCGGCGGTTGTTTAGATGTTTGGAATTTTTATGGAATGGAAACAATACTTGTGGGGATCAGAATACTTGCACGTCCTAGGAAAAATAGACAACACTTTTGTGGACCCAATTGCTTTGAAGGTGACAATTAAAAAGCCGCTTAGTTGTTCCGTCCTTTGTTTTAATTAATTTGGCTCCATTGATTTGCTCGGTTGGGTTTGGGTTTAAGAGTACTTGCTAAGCATCGCGTGTTGCGTGCCCAACCAAGTGGTGTCGTTACATTTCAAGGGATGATTTTACGCTCGGTTCTTTAAACGAGGCAGGAGGGCGGGGGATTCCCGTGCCGTGCAAGACTATGGCAAGGCCGCTTGGTGGGTCTTCTTCTCAGTTGCCTGCTGGCCTTCCGATGTCCGTTGAGCTCAGCGATGTGACGGTTCGGGGACCGATGACCAGTGTCTGCCGACTAAGGGCCCAGTATGCTTCCATAGTCATAGACAGTCATAGACATAGATGCGTTTCATAGGCGTTCCCAGATGCGTTTTGAGTGTCACGACTGTTTCAAATGATGCGAGAACTGTAGCTGCCAAGTATGATGGGGGGGGGGGGGGGGGGGGGGAAGGGGGACTGCTTCAGTCCCGAACGGTGTCATCACAGTTGTCGGTGTATATGGGTTGTCACCCGTGGTCTGTCTCAGGCTTTTACGTCCACAGTTTGAGTGGTGATTGTCTCAGACGGGGTAATCTAACATCGCTTGGGTGAACATACTCCTTACGCTGTACTTGGGTATGATCGGGAGGCGTCCACCAGCTAGCTATTTCGGTCTTCGAGTACGTGGCCATTAGTGCGGGCTGAAAAACTATGACGCATTATAAGATTTTAAGCTGAAAATTGCCCACCCGTAACATGTCAGGAGGTACCTCTTATGAAAATGCTTCACGTTCCCAGCGGTTGCCCATGGCCACATGTCTCTGACCAGTTGCGTCTGCGACCACTGCTGTAAACGTGAAACATTTTGATTATATATTGCGAGGCTTGTTTTATATCTTCGTTTACCCGCTGCCAGCCGGTTTGTTGAAGGTCGTGTTTGATAATGACTCATAATGGCAAGAAAAAATGCAGAAAACCGGCGCAAGGCCTTCCGTGTTCATATCACTTGATGTCACTTGACCTTCGCCGTCACGTATCACGCGTAAGCTTTTCTTCTTTTTTTAAGCACGCCCACAGGCTCATATTGTTTTTGTTTGGGTGGTCGCATGAGCGTGGTGCCCAACAAAAACTATGTTGGAGGCTCATGTACTTGGCCTTATCTCTGTTGTGAGTGGAGCCTTTGCCCGCGATGTGGGGTTCTTTTGGTAATCTGAACTGCGTACACATAAAGGAACAACTTTGAAAGTAGTGGCAGCCCGGGCAGCGTCACTGTTGCTGAGCGGCGAATCCTGTGTTGTAGCTAGCACTGGGTGATAGCCTGTGTTGTCGTTGGCACGAGCTGATGACCATAGCTGTTGACTAGGTCGTCACAGCTCAATTTCTAGATTGCACGGGCCAGCGAACACTAATAAGTAAGAAGTATATGCGCGTCGGCCAGGGCCACCAAGCACACGTCCCGTTTGTGTTCACAGGGCGTATACCTGCTCAAGTTCGACAACTCGTACAGTATGTGGCGCTCCAAGACGCTCTACTTTCGAGTCTACTACACCCGGTAATGGCTCGTGGAGACAACTCCAAGGCAATGGGCGCTCTGTCTTCTCCCACTCGACGAGCGCTCGTCGAAACTGCGCCCAGAACTCGGCGGCGCTGCCTTTGACCCCTCAAGGAGCGGTTGCAGACGTGCTGCGGAGGGCATCAGTACGGCTGCCGGGGCCGCCAGATGTGATGGGCGTCTGGCAGTCACGGCCGGGGCCTCACATCGGTCTGCTGGTGCGCTGCGCACGTGCGATATCCCGTCTCAGGCCGCGCTTAAGGAGCGGCTCCCGCCATTGCTTGCTGTTGCGATTTGTTCCGCGTGTAACACATGTGATTCCAGACGCACTGCAATTTCTGCGTCGTCCAGCGCGCCAACACCGACACTGATACTTGGCGTTGATAACAAAGTCACACACTGCACGTGCCATGTGACCTGGTGAATGTTATGTGGGGCTCGTTCGGCCCCCATCGGCTCTGACTGGCAGGTGATGCCCCCTCCCGTCACATGGATGGCGTGTACTCCCGGCGCGGGGAGGCGGTGCCTCAGAACTCTGCGCCCAGTGCGGTGATACGGTCGTAGCGCGGGCCGGCGTGCGGTGTCCAGCGTCCGCAGCGGGAGAGGAGACCCCGCGGCACGCGCGGCCGGTGGAAGCTGCTCGGGCTCTCGCAGGCCTACGTCCGCGACATCGGGCCGAGGCGGGTTAATTGCTACGCGGGTGGAACATGGCGTGACCGAAGCGTGCTTTGTCGGGGGCTCTGTGTTGTGTGCAGGGCTGGTGTTGGAAGTGTGTTGGAAACTGCAACCACTCATTGTTGCTGCGCGGTGATATTTTCGAATGTTTTGGGGATTGTCACTATTGCCATTTGTGTTGTTATTGCTAAACCTCATTGGCGTAAGGGTATAATTGGTTGACACATGACTCATCGGGGGCAACAGAGAGATTATTCGTGTACAACAATCGGAGCTCAATAAAATGGTGGGGAGTGATGGCGAATGTATCCCCAAACGCTACATTGGAGCACCCGTGCCTGCGCTCTCGCCACAGTAACATTGCACGATTGGCGGAGCAGAAGGTGCGCTGAGCGACGTCGCTGCCGGGCGGTCAGTTCTGCGCAGCTGTACGTTAGGGCCTGGTGAGCGGCAGGGCGGACACGGCCGGCCGATCCCGGGCGGTCAGTCCTGCGCAGTTGTACCTCAGGGCCTGGTGAGCGACAGGGCGGACACGGCCGGCCGATCCCGGGCGGTCAGTCCTGCGCAGTTGTACCTTAGGGCCTGGTGAGCGACAGGGCGGGCACGGCCGGCCGATCCCGGGCGGTCAGTCCTGCGCAGTTGTACCTCAGGGCCTGGTGAGCGGCAGGGCGGACACGACCTGCCGATCCCGGGCGGTCAGTCCTGCGCAGCTGAACCTTACGGCCTGGTGAGCAGCAGAGCGGACACGGCCGGCCAATCCCGGGCGGTCAGTCCTGCGCAGCTGAACCTTACGGCCTGGTGAGCGGCAGGGCGGACACGGCCTGCCGATCCCGGGCGGTCAGTCCTGCGCGGCTGAACCTTACGGCCTGGTGAGCAGCAGAGCGGACACGGCCGGCCGATCCCGGGCGGTCAGTCCTGCGCAGTTGTACCTTAGGGCCTGGTGAGCGGCAGGGCGGACACGGCCGGCCGATCCCGGGCAGTCAGTCCTGCACAGCTGAACTTTACAGCCTGGTGAGCAGCAGAGCGGACACGGCCGGCCGATCCCGGGCGGTCAGTCCTGCGCAGCTGAACTTTAGGGCCTGGTGAGCGGCAGAGCGGACACGGCCGGCCGATCTGCCTGTCTCGCCGAGCTGACGCGCCTCAGGGCGCGGTCTGGCGCCTACAGTTGGGTGTCTCAAGCATCGGAGGTCAGTTGTCGGAGGGTGTCCTGTCTGCAGCGCATAGGACATCTTGCCAGAGTGAAGTTTGGCAGGTGGCCGTTCAGCCGTGCACCGAGACTGCTGCTGTCAGACTGCAGACGCAGACTGTTGGCCGGATTGAAGACTGAGGCTGATCGAGAGGGAGACGAAGGGGCTGGGGAGGAATATCTTATTTAGGTAATACTTTTCTCCATATGGGTTAATGGCCACCAAGTCAATTCGGTTGGGAGATTGTGCACTGGGTCCAACAGGCCGTGTGGTGTGTATCTGACCCGGTCGAGGCGACGCTGGCCTGGGAACAGGGGCCGCCGTGCTGGGTGCACGGGTTCTGATTAGTGCAAGCGACGCACAGCGCAGACGGCTACGCGGAATGCGAGCTTTACAACTATGGCGTGTTTACTTCCGCGACGGTCCAACGCATAAACTCACGCCCATCTGCCTCCAGTGGCGGTCACAACTCGCGTTAGCGACGAGCACGGCTTGTCAGGTAGCGGAAAGACACCTTTTGTACATGTAATGGAAACGATTTGTTCAGGCTCCACGCCTTTGCAAACGCGGCCGAGTGTGCGGCCCCGCACAGGGAGCTGCCACTGTGGGCGAACATTAAAGCCGAGAGAAACTTATCCGGGCGCATCGCTGATATGTGAATAAATAGCACGTGGATGGAGGCGGCGCAGTAATGTCACGCTGCACAGGTTGTGCTTCCAGTCTCCCGGTACGGCAGAGTATGGCGACGGACCACTGTGGGGAAGAGCTCGGTAGTATCGAGTTTGTTTCTGTACTGATCCTGCTGCAGCAAGGACCGTTGCAGGTATACTACGCGGACGTGCGGAAACCTCTGAAACGCGAAGTTCTTTGAGTATTTCTGAACGCTTCTGACACATGGAGCATGCCGGATTTTCTTTCCGTCGAGTGCCTCTGTTTGGTAAAAAGGTTAAAGCAGTCCAGCGATTGCAACTGGCCCGTTATGGATGGGATCGGAAGGCTCAGGGCCCAGAACGGGTTAAATGTCACGGACGCGTAACCACACACCGTGCGCCATGACGTGAGCGTGAAACGCCTCCAGGGCTCCAGCGGTTTCTGGGCAGCACTGAGTGTCATCACTGTGGTTGGCTGTGGTCGGGTTATTCGTTGACACGGCCCCCCTCTTCGCGCGAGCCCCCCCCCCCCCCCCCCCCAGCAGATATCTCAGGAGCTGCCATGTGTTCTGCTGCTGATACACATGAATCGGGCCGCAAATTGCCGGAACTGTGCCTTTAGCTGGGAGGGAGTCAGTGCCCGGTAAGCCTCATCTGGGATCTTCCAAAGACCTCGCATAAGCGTGGCAAATGCTCTGATGAGAGCACCCTTCGTGGCAGAGGTGGTCGTGCTGATGTCTCTCGAGTGCTCATCTCGTAGGATGCAGTCACGCAGGGCACGAGTGATGCTCAGGCATTGCAGCGACGTGTTTATGAAGCACGTATTGCCGATGTTCCCGAGTCCTGCGAGTCGCGCGCTACCACCTTCTTCACTCGAGCAAATGATCCACGGGCGGCTCGACGGGGAGGCAGCCAGGCCTGGGCAGGCGACCGGGCATAGCTGCTTCCGGTTCCTCTGTTAAATGCGTACCGACTCGGCCCGTTGCACCCCATTCCGCTTCGTTCGGGTGCTCTTCAGTTTTATAGTGGCCTTGTTCAGCTCGGCGCGCAGCACCGGAGGGCGACACTCTGAGCCTGACCTCACCGGGCGGCCATGCAAGTCTGAGAGGAGGTGACAGACCGCCGAAGAGTATGAAGGAAGCTCACACTTAGGTGGCGACGAGTTAGGCGTCCCATCAAACGGGCTCATGATGTTGGTTGCCCCCGGATGTAATGCCCAGTTCACCACAGTCTGTTTGCCTTTGGGCGCGGGCCAGTGATGTGCGCTGGCAGGCGCATTATAAGAACTTGTTGTGGCAGGTACGGAGGCGGCATTGCCACGAATGAAGGCGATTGATGGCAGCTGCCAGAGCCAGCCAGCCTCAAGATAATCTCCAGATATGTAAACAAGCCGCGATCTCCACTCTGATGGAAGTCTTGGTGGATGGACCGCAGCCCCCCCCCCCCCCCCCCCCCCCCAGTCTCAAAAGCGATGGGTTCAAACTCAAATCGTCTGCAAGGTCTGCGTACCTGCACATCTCTTGCGGTGGATTCAGTGGCTATGTGTGTGCTTCAGTGGTGTACGTGTGTATGCATGCAGCGTTCTAAACTAGGTTTTTCCCCGGGAGTACAGATGAATTGCGGGATGGAAAACAGGCCCAAACCTCGTCCAACAGCCGTCGCAAGAAGACCATACCAACCAGTATTGAAGGAGGACATGGACAAGCGTACCACCTGACGTGTGGGTTATGGTGTCTCGAATTTCACGAGTGATCGTGTTAAATCCATCACCATCCGCCCATTTTGGGGTATCTTTAGAGATTGGCGTCAGATACTGGCAACCAGGCCGGATAGAAACGTGAAACCAGTTGTATGACGTAGGTGAACATTCCGCTTCCAAATCATCAAGCCATCTTAACATTGGCCAGTTTTACTTTCAGTTCCAGTTTCAATTTTCAACATTGCTCCACGCAAGCATGAACAAACATTAAGAAATTGTGAACAGCTACACACACTTACGCCTCCCAAAGGCTTATCACATTCAGATCTCCTCTAGCTTGAAAATACCTAAATTGACGCCAGGTACCAGAGGCTGTGTTGGCCGGAGGCGAGGCAATCCTGGAATGGCCACGCGGAACGAGTGCTGCCGACGTGCGCGCCTGAGAGGCGGAGGGGCTGGGGCCCCCGCGCCCGGACGGCACGCTGGCGACAGCGGCACGCCGTGTAAACGGGGCCTCGGGAGGGGCTGGGGGCTCCCGCGCCAGGGCGGCACGCTGGCAGACAGCGGCACGCCGAGAAAACGGGGCCTCGGGAGGGGCTGGGGGCCCCCGCGCCAGGGCGGCACGCTGGCAGACAGCGGCGCGCCGTGTAAACGGGGCCTCGGGAGGGGCTGGGGGCCCCCGCGCCAGGGCGGCACGCTGGCAGACAGCGGCGCGCCGTGTAAACGGGGCCTCAGGAGGGGCTGGGGGCTCCCGCGCCAGGGCGGCACGCTGGCAGACAGCGGCGCGCCGTGTAAACGGGGCCTCGGGAGCTCGCGTCGTTCAAAAATTTGTGGACCCCGACGCGGTTCCGGCGAGTGAGCAGGTCTCGATTTCAGTGCCAATCAAGCTTCACTAAGATCGAGGAGTGTGCTTGTGACGGCAATGGGAGAGGGGTTTCCCCTTACCATTTGCTTCCGGTCAGCAATGCAGCTCTTAAACCATTGAGGCTCACGCCGTAACATGGAAGCTTGTGTAAAAGGGCTGAGAGATCAACGTCGTCAAACGGGCGAGTGAAGTGAATCGACGTGACTGTAATGGCGTGGCCTTTGTCATCTCGTCGGGTGATCCAATGGGCCGTGTCAGGCAAAGCGTGTGATTGGTACAGTCTGACACAGTGACATTGACACAGACTGTGCCAGACTGCGTCGTCAGGCAAGCCCGCGGCGTCGTTTGTGATTGATTGAAGTGTCAAACACTCGACTTAGCTTTTGAACTGGAGAAAACGCGGCAGCAGAAAGTCACGCCATTCACCAGCTCCTTGAGGTCATGTCTGAAGATTGGTAGTGATACAATTACGATCGGGGTGGAAGGACATCCCAAGTGTGTGTCGCAACAGTAAGGAACAGCAACGGAATATGGTGACGGGAGCAAGCAGCCACGGATCGTCCATGCAAGGAAATATCAAAGATGTTGCCCTGTTTACCAGATATTTCTATGATAAATGGCCTACGCGGGAAAGGACGGCGTAATCAATCGCAATTACGAAGGAGTGCGATACGACGCTATGCGATGGGAAGAATCAGCCATGCAGGCGGATGTTACTCGAAGCATCGTGTACTAGGAATATGCTACGAAGAAACGTGATGCGAAGAACTGCATGTGTGACCAGATGTAATGCGAAGGATCCGGTGTGCAAAGTTTCGTGTGTGAGCACTTGCGGATTCAAATACTTATTTGTATGCGGAGATTGTTCGCGCACGAGGCTCTGCGATACTCGTATTTGCCTTTGGAAATTGAGCAAAGGAAATTTTGCCAACGAAAAAATGTGCTGCGAACAAGTCCATTTACAGTTGTTTAGGGAGACGAATGCTTTCGCAGCTGAAGCTTCACCTCTCCCACTACATTGTTGGTCTCGGCCGGCTCCTGGCAGCATTATTGCTGCTGACCAATGCGGTGTGCACTAGACCTGTCACGGCTTCCGAGAGCCCTCCTAAAATATCAGGGTGCGCAAAAGCACATGCCTGACACCTGACCAAGCCTATTGCATAGCCTGTCTGTGGCGATGGTGGACGGTTGTGCCCACCGTCGCTATCCGGTGGTGGCGCCCTACAAATATGTGTTAAGCCCTTAATCGGAGACTCATGCCCGCTAGCTAGCGTGGCAAACACGGCACGCCGAATCAGGCTTCGATTGTGTCCCTAGCCCACGGCGGTACATTGGCTCGCGTCTGGCCACGGCGGTACGTTGGCTCGCGTCTGGCCACGGCGGTACGTTGGCTCGCGTCTGGTCTGGCCACGGCGGTACGTTGGCTCGCGTATGGCCACGGCGGTACGTTGGCTCACGTCTGGCCACGGCGTTACATTGGCTCGCGTCTGGCCACGGCGGTACGTCGGCTCACGTCGGGCCACGGCGGTACGTTGGCTCACGTCCGGCCACGGCGGTACGTTGGCTCACGTCCGGCCACCGCGTCCAATGTGACGCCGATTGGGATGGCCTGCTCGTGGCTCCCCGGTCCAGGACTCATGCTCTCTGGACCCGCCGGCCTGCTGTGATGTCAGCAGCCCTGCCTCCTTCTACCCGGTACGCCCCCCACGCCCAAGCGGCTGATTGGTCGTCGGGTGCCTCAGCTGTGGTTGGCTAATGTCCGTACTGTGGATTATGTGAAGGGAACTGCGAATGCCAGCCGCTATTGCTGGCACAGCAAGGCTCAAATTTCAGCCAGCAGCCATGGCAGATCAGCCTTAAAGATAGAAGTGTGAAATCAGGGGATAGCTTTTTGATCCAGAACACTTGGTTGTCTCCCGAGCCTTCCCCTTACCTTACCAAAGGCGGTCTCGCCATTCTCCAACACATCTCAGCGAGGCAAGCTCTGAATTGCTAGATTTCTCAGCAGCAATGCATCCTGCATCGTCCTCCAGCGACCGCGACGGGAAGGTGAGCTTTGCCTCCGACCAATGACATTCTGGGCGGTTCAAGTCCCGTCTTCGCGCTTAAGACTCTTCACAGGATTTTTAGCGTGTTTGGAGGCCTTCGGTATTCGTTGAAGTCGGCAAACCTGCTTTTGCGAGCAAACTGTGAAGTGGTTTGAGAAGCCTTTACGAAGTGCAAAGGGGCTGTGTGTTTGAATGGAATGCCCAGCCTGCCTGATCCGGTGCGATCGCACCTAATGCTTTTGGCAGCTTCGCAGTTTCAAACCTCATCGTCATACATGGGTGGTAATTCCAAAATTGTATTGTGTCATCCTTTAACATCTATGTCGCAATCAAGTAGCCATTTCACATTAGCACATTCACATATACAGGAACGTGCTTCGTGCAGAAACGCATTAAAACATTTGTCCATCGCTGGTAGGCCCAGCACGAACCGCCGTTTACCAAAAAAAAGCGTGATCAAGTCCTTTGAGTCTATGGAGTGAGCTACATTTAGTGTAAGATATACACAGCAAGCCAAGCTCTTATTCTAGCAAGCAAGCATCGGATATCATTCAAGGAGCTCGATTCTAACAGTTGGTATACTTCTATGTCAACGGCTGCTGTAGACAACACACTCTGCACAGTAAATTGCTCCTCAGTATGCAATTGCTTGGTTGCGTCAGTGTACCCTCGCACAACATTGATTGAGAGCCAATTGATATTCGGTGTATCTGGAAATTATGCTCACGGATGCCAACTATGAGCGACTTGACAATCAGATTTTTCCCGACCTTGGTCGCCGCATGGTTTATGAAATGGCAGGATTTGGATGACGTTGTTAGGGTGTCATGTATGCTTGGGTTCCCTTGAAATAGGCTTCCCGAAACAGTCCGCACATTTGGCGGATGTGTGCCTCAGGACCTGAAGAAGTTTGGACCTTAAGAAGGGCAGACCGTCAAATGTAGCGAATGATGTTCAACATGGCTATTTCAGCTCAAAATCCCATACAAATGTGGAGCACTTTCTTTGGAAGGAATCCTTTTTAAGCGGAAAGACTGCTCTATACAGCACAATTCTCTGTAAAGTAAATATGCTCTTGAAGGCGTCATGGTTTGGTTACGTCATCGTATCTTGCACAATATTGATTGAGACCCAACCGATGGCCGTTATATCTGAAGATCGTGCTCACGAACGCCAGATACGAACGCCTCGACAACTACATTGGTTGGGGTCTTGCTCACCGCATCGCTTATGGAATGGAAAAATTTGAATGACGTCACGACGTCATAAATGCTGCGGTGGTTTGAGATACTCTCCCCGAAAAACTCTTCCCATTTTCGCGGGCGGTTAGCTCAGAAACTAGAGGGGCTTAGGGCTTAAAAAGCATGGGATTGTGAACAGTGCCGAAATACCTTCAAGGTGGCTATTTCAGTTCAAAATCTCATATAAATGTGGAACACCACTTTTGAGGGAGTGTTTCACCAGTGGGGCATTTTTCAAAAACGTTATCTGGTGAAATTTCAGGGTCATTACGTCTAATATAATTATAATAGCACCGGGTAGTGACACTGCACCACCATCACGATAGAAGGAGGGAATTGATCTCAGTCATTTTTCGAGTCAAAGTTGCGCTGTCAATGTTTCATCACAGCACTACAGCTCCTTGCAGCCCCAGCGTGTAGCACTAGTCCACGACAGCTGGCGGCGTCTGAAGCTGCTGAGGGCCGTCGTCAACTGCTACTAACCATAGGTACCACTTTTGAATTGCTTTAATCCGCACATAACGGGGGTAAAAAAATCGCCCACTCGCCCACGAGTGTGGGAGACTCATATCAATGCCTGCCCTTCGTGGAAGAGACTGAAACGCTCTCACCGTTCAAAGTTCTTTTCAGCACATGCATTCACAAAACGTCGATTGTGATGAAATTGCGCGCAATGCAGCGTTGATAGAGAAACATATGTTCTAGTGGCCGATACATTTTCCAGCACTTCCGTGTGGGGAGACATTTTGTGGGCAATTTGTGGATATACTCGGAATAGTCTAAACGGACGGCTGAGCCTGTTGGCAACCCCATGCTCCGAGCTTATGATACCGATCGACAGCAAACCTTCACCATTCGTCGCCGCTTGGTCTTTAACCTATCCTCCCCAGGATATGATGACCTTAGGCATGGTAAAAGCTCTCCAAAAAATACAAAAAAACAAACAAACAGAAAACTACGGTTGCAGCGAGCCCCATGCTGTGAACCTATTCGATTGATCAACATGAAACCTTCACCAATCGATGTGCCATAGACGATAACCCATCCTTTCCAGTACTTGGTGACCTTGAGTCAGGTCACCATGGCCACCATGTTCTGGAGAGCACAGGATGTCGAATGTGGCACTTCGACTAGTAAAGGTTTTACTGAGCTCATCCACATCCGCAGGTAGTCATCCAACTAGCGCGTCTATGATTTTGCGTTGGCTCATGCCGGCTGGTCTGGGGGACAGGTTATGAAAATACGAGCTTTTTGCCTCACTTGTGAAATGCCCTTTTCGGGCAGACGCCATTAGACGGCTCGTTGTATCATGTAATGTTCCCACTTCTGGTGGCCGCGTGAGGTGCGTCACAGTCTGAATTTTTGTTATTACAAGACCATACATTTTCAACCGCTCTTAATTCTACAACACTTCCAAATTTCATCTACTTTATTCTTAATTGTGCCATGCCTGTTCAACGTTCTGTCTTGTCATAGGAAGCCCATTCACTGCATGTTCATGACGTATTCCACCTATCTAGAGTTTATAAGTCTGGTCCGGCATTGCCTAGGCGAACTTAAATATACGTCGGCGTCAAAAAAGCTGTTAATTTGGCATTACTCACATTTTGAGCAGCTGTGAACCAAGCGATGGAAAAAAGTACATCTTGGGTGGATATGAGTCACAGTGGACAAGACCGTTGGACTTGTTTGATCTTCATGCCCCACCATTTTCTCTCAGTCTTCTTTCTTTCCCTTCGTCCATATCCCTCTCCTTCTTCCACTCTTTTCTCTCTCCGCTCTCCATTCACACTTCCCCCTCCTCTCTCTCACTCTCCCTCTCTCTTTATCTCTCTCTCTCTCCCTCTCTCTTTATCTCTCTCTCTCTCCCTCTCTCTCTCCCTCATCCTCTCTCCCTCTCTCTCTCCCTCTCTCTCTCCACTCCTCTCTCTCTCTCCCTCTCTCTCTCTCCCTCTCTCTATCTCTCTCTCTCTCCTATCTTCTCTCTCTCTCTCCTCTCTCCCCTCTCCCTCCTCCTTAATCTCTCTCTCTCTCTATCTCTCCTCTCTCTCTCCTCTCTCTCTCCCTCTCTCTCCCTCTCTCTCTCCTGCTCGTCTCTCTCATCTCTCTCTCTCGCTCTCTCTCATCTCTCTCTCTCTCTCTCTCTCCTCTCTCCTCCTCTCTCTCTCTCTCTCTCTCTCTCTTCTTCTCTATCTCATCTCTCTCATTCTATCCTCAGTCTCTCGTCTCCTCATCTTTCGTTGTTGACGACGATGCCGGAATCGCTGACACTTCGGCCTGGTGTTGGCTGGTGCTAGGCATTTTTCGCACATGGTACAAATTTTACGTTTCCCCACGTTAGCTGAATGGGGGGGGGGGGTAAAATTTTGTTTACATTGCAGCGTTGCAGAAAAGTCGCCTCCGAACAATGAGCTAGTGCCCATACGCCTCTAAACGATGGTACCCGACGATATGTTTTGACGCAAGGAAATATATATATATATATATATATATATATGTATATCTATCTATCTATCTATATATATATATGCATGCATATGTGTATATATATACATATATATATATGTATATATATATATATATATATATATATATATATATATATATAAGTTGAAATGGGTAGTTTTCCCTCCTGCGCAGTTTGCGCGCTCAATTTTTATCGTTTCATGCTACACCGCCTTGTATTCGACATGGGTTTCTTGAAGACAAAACTACGCATGCCACTCTGTGGTCGATTGCTGTCGCACATGCGGGGCAGACAGCTTTGAGATATGACAGTGAGATGCGGCCGATACACCAAGCCAATCCGCGCACGCAGTTGGCTTCACGTTTTCATTCGATCTGGCTGCTTAGATCAGTGCTTCAAAAGCCTACAAACAGGTGGATTCATGGCTTTCTGCCCGAGAGCATGTATTGCACGATCGGAAAGGGTACAGAGGTACGAACAACACGACACTAGAGGTGCATAACGCCGCACCCCTCCCAAACCTGCCCAGCAGCGGGAAGGTGCTGACTGAACTAGCCGGGCGTAGAGCTGATCAATATAGGCTGGGCGTTGACTCTCAAGCGCCGGCTTTTGGATGCCACGTGAAACAGGCCATGCTGCCGGCATATGTAATCAAACACAGACTTGTGAATTTTGCAACGTTTGGCAATATGCCGTTCATGTGTTCATGTCCATGTGTGCGTGTGTCCCGTGCCAGTGACGAGATTGCTTTGTAACTATGTTTCCCGTATGTGCTATTTATCACGACGCGTCAAAACGTAAAGCACCACATGGGCCTTCTGACAAATGCATCATCATAAACAACCATTACCCTTGTCTGGGATGGCCTGCGGACGGTGACAGAGGCCTTGCTAAGGTCACTTGACGTCAGAGACTAGGATGGACGGTGCCGGACATTACGGCGCGTTACGGCACATTAACATTTCGCCACCAGATTCTGCCTTGAACACGACATTTCACGATCGGATAGAGCGGGTCAGGGCTTACGCAATAAGTACCGTTAAACGTGGGCGGTAGTCCCAGAAATCGATCCATTTAAAACATGCCGCTTATTTTTGTAGTCATGGCTTACGATAGCCAGGATATTACGCATATAGAGCATACACCCATTTGTCTATAGCCGGGATATTACGCATATAGACCATACACCTATTTGTCTGTAGTCGGGATATTACGCATATAGAGCATACACCTATTTGTCGATAGTCGGGATATTACGCATATAGAGCATGCACCTATTTGTCGATAGTCGGGATATTACGCATACAGAGCATACACCTATTTGTCTATAGCCGGGATATTACGCATACCACCTATTTGCCAGGGCAATAAGTTTCCTTCCCAGCCCTGCGTCAATACAAGCCTTTTGAATCGCCGCAAAGCCTGGTCATCGATTTTGTGATTAAACAATTATACGTCTCTCGTGTTATATGGAGCGGTGATATTTCAAGATGCGGAGGCATGCCACCTGATCAGACAGCTCGCATTAAAACGCCTTGAAAACGATGAAATATACCTCACGGTGGTGCGATCTATAATCGCCAAGATATCAGTCAGCCAAAAGTGTAAATTGGCCGACTTCCGGCTAGTACTTGTTGATATGGAGGCTCGCTCGGGTTACGGTTTTGCTCCTAAGCGATTCCTGGAATCGGAACGAGCAGGCCGCGCTGGGGCACAAAAGTTTACACTGGTAGAAATGTTTAAGTAACGAGCGTTAAGCTTCCGTCGTCGTGCAAAAACAGCACGCGCTCGTGGACCCATCCTATGACATCTCCCAGCCCGCCGCGCGCCGCAGCTTTGCTAAATCAGTAGAGGCACCTGAACGAGGGATGGCATGCACAAACCAATTCCCAAGATGGATTTATTTGTGGAATCGACACATCTGGCTGCAGTGTGTGGGTGGTGGCCGATCAGGATTACTGTGCACGGACGGTGCCATCAATTTAGGGGGGGGGGGGAGATATGGTAAAACTATCACAACGTTTGACTGCAAAATGGGTGACAAATAATGCATTGGCGTTCTCATAAATTATCGTTGTTACGCAGAAGTCCTCGTATGACATGCATTACACCGCCACAAGGCTAGGGGCGCGGGAGCCGGGGATGGCGCAGGGGCTGGGGGCCACAACTCTCCCAAAATTGGCGTTGGCCTCTGTGGGCGTTGGCTGGAAAGACCTAACCCAAACAGTCACTATTCCCTCTCCCTTCCAGCGTGGAAGGACGCTGCTTGTCCTATGCTGGCGGATCTTTGCTATCGCAGCCCCGTAGTTTCTTTTCACAGTGCATATCATAGTCTAGACCAGTTGATCATACGATGAATCAAGGTATGAATACGTGTACGTAAAATGGAAAAAGCTGCGTAGGGCGATATTTCATGCATATTTACTCCGCACCACGATAAGACTTGTTCGTCCGATTCCAAAACTTTTTACTTTGGGGACGGAAAAATCATAACTGAAGTAAATATGGCTTTTCATTACGGAGACGACAAACTTTCAAACGACCTGCTGCTGGAGGATCACAGAGCTCACATACTCCTTCCAGGTGTATGTGACATACTCCATACTCCTGCACCAACACCGCTTATTACACGGCTCTGAGCGCAGCCAGACGTTCGCCGGCGTGATGCGTTAAGGTTGGCATTTGGACTGCGGCACGAGCTGAACCTGCTCAATCGAGGCGAAGGCGATGCCCTTAGACGCACTGCTGCTGCATTAATCTTCTTCTGCATCACCACTAAGCGAAGCAAGTCTGCAGCCCCTGCGGGGCGCTGGAACTGCTTTCAGCTGAGCCGCTGAACTGACAGATCAGGTCATGAAAAGGCGATCAAGTTTTGCATTGGCCAAGTTTTGCCAAGGTTTTGCCTCACATTACGGAGAACAAACTGCGTGAATACATTCCTTCCCTCCGCAAGCGGTGAGGGCATTGGCCTTTTGCTCCTCTGGTGACGCTGCCCTTGTGTGCCTCTGTAGAGTTGGTATTCGCAGCTCCCATACGGAAAGCAATAGGAATGCTACGAACTTGAAGGGGAATCAATGAATGAAGGGGACCTGTTCAGGTTGCATTAGTGAAATGTTGCAGCGTAATGAAGCTAAAAGCAAATACAATTGATGCCCGCCCCGGCGGCGCAGTTGGTTAGAGCGCCTGCCTTCCGATCCACCCAGCCGTGGCCGAGTGGCGTGGCGAGGATTAGGCGCGTGCTATTTCTCCTTGAGAGGGGCGATCCGCGGGTGGTGGTGGTGAGCGTGCCAAACGTCAGGTCACGGCAGAGGACAGGCTCGACCGTGCCGTGTCCTTTTGGCACGTTAAAATGTACCACCAAATTCTGCCTTTGATCCCTCAAAGTCTGCCGTATGCCTTCAGAATGTTTCAGGGTGCACAATGAGCAGACAAGACACGCAATATTGTGTAACCGCATCAAATTGCGGGCTAAAGCTACTGCAAAAACACGGCGGTGGAAGAGGTATCATATGTGATGGGAATTGACGAGGACGCACGAAACTTGCAGCAGTACCAAGGGAATTCATTACGTCGTAGTACGCATACTACAATTCAATATCAGTTCTGCCCTTCGCTTCAAAAAACCTATTACATGCAAAGGTCGCATGCACGTGATACTCCCATCTGACCGCCTAAGGCGGCTTAAACTCCAGGCACGGAAGATAACAACATTGCATGTGCTCGGTCAGTATAGGAGAAAATCCGCGCACCGTTTTTTGGAATCCCAGTAGTGTCTTTCTCGTATTTGTACCAATGTAAACCTACCAATGTGAGAAAAGTTCGTGACGGTAGCAATTGAAGACAGGAGCCCCTCAGTGAAAATATGTTCTAAAAATATATTTTCTCCTGCAAGAAGGTTGTGGAGATAGGGAGGACTGCCTCCCCCTCCTCTCTGAGGATAAAGAGGACGCGTCCTCTCGTTAGGGAGCTAGGTGTCTGAAAGTGCTACATTCGCGGCTGGAAAGGACAGTATGGCAACAAAGAGATCATAATCAAGACTCAAATACACATTCTGAGATGTATTGGATCATAGATCACGGTCTTTACGTGATCGAAACATATAGCACTTTTTTGCATAACCTTAAAACAAAGTCACACGTTTCGTGGCTTATGAAGGTCACATTTTGAGCTATTCCCATCACGACAATGTCAACGCAATCTGACAAAACTACGACTTTTTGTGTTGAAAACAATAATTATATATAACGGTGCTGGTTTCAACTAGTAATTCGCGTTCCTCTCAATGGAGCACACCGAGTGCGCCTCCCAAAGGATGGCTCCCACCTCTTCGGCTGAAAAGTAGCTCACTTTTGGGATTTCCGACCTCTATCCTTTCGACCAGACCCTTTCGTTTCTTTCGGTAGCTCGTCGGACGTCGCAGCCTGAGTTCCTCCAGCATGTCTTTGGATGGTCGTCATGTAGTTGTCGTCAGTGGCGGCGGCTCGTCAGACGGTGGCGACATCGAGCGACTCTGTGTCCCGACTGCCCCGCGCTCACGCCAGCGGTCGGCGAACTTGCCGCAGGTGCCGGGGGATGTCCCATGCGATCCGACGACCACGCTGAGCTGCCTGGCGACCATGTGGCAGTGCGAGGTGACCTCGGAACAAATGGCGGCGAACCTTGACAAACACGACAGCCTCGCCGCCTTCAGGAGCCAGTTTGAAATTCCCAAAATGAAGACGAAGCCGGGAGGTAAGTGTAAACAGTTTGTAGCTAATAAATGATGGTTATTTTATCTGATGGATGATGGTTATTTTTGCGACGTACTGAATGTGGAAAGCAAGACCATACTCTGCTTATATGATACACGTAGAATAGTGCTGTTTTTCTCTGTCATGTGTTTGACGTAGGCCTGTTTTTTCAGTTGACCTGAGTGCTGTCAACCCTGATGACGATATAATTTACATGAACGGGAACTCGCTGGGGCTGAAGCCCAAGAAAACTGACGAGTACTGCAGTAAAATGCTGCAACAGTGGGGAGAGTGGTAAGAACTGCGTCATAACACAAAAATAAGCCAAAGCTATGAGTGATTTGTTGTCCTCCATTGATTGTTTACTGCTGTGTTTTACACAACGCCAACCAGCATTGGGGTTACAATATCAATAATGCACTGCGTTTCGATTCGTTTATCTATCTGCTTTTTGTTGTATCTAAAGCATGGTCTCCGTTTGGCTGTCTGGGGTTTATTTTCCTGTGCAACTGATGCAGTCATCACCGTCGCCACGCATCGTACATACTCTTCCCTGCGACGCGAGCTAGGGGCAAGCCTTTTGAATCGAAACCATGGCCCGTGGGTTTTGACCCGTGCTTCGCTCTCTTTAAAATCGAGGTGTATGGAGGCTGAAAGCATGTTGCAGCAGCAATTGAGCTTAGACTTCTCGATCTAGGGCAGACCTCCTGCTAGATGCAAACTAACTTGGCCACTCAAGACCAATTAGGCAGTCCAAGGTTTGTTGCCGGCCCTTCCTGGATGTATTGAAGTGTGTTGCTGAACATCACGAGGTACATTAAGAGACGTGTTACCGACCTCGTGCTTAAAACAACGAGTGTGGCAAAATTCAATAATCCTGTGCCTTTTTTCGTTTCTATGAGCATCAGACTGCAAACAAAATTCCTCTGTCGTACTCTGCACACTGCTGACGCACATGGCCGTCATTACCAGAGGTGCCGTTTTCTAGTCGTTCTTGTTCAAAGTCCATTCCAAAGTTCAAGGATGGGCCAGCTGCACGTTCAAAAGTGTCAATGAATCAGGTTTTTCCATAATTTTGGAAGTGCGTATAAAATAATTAATACCGAAAAGCAATAACTCCAGAATTTTCTCGCGTCACTACATACCCTTACTGAAGCTGAATGAAAAGAAATAAAAGTTATGGTGAACGATTTCCGCCCAGTCCGTCCAACTTCCAAATAAGACTTCGGAATTTTCAGGATTTCAAAAATTTGAGAAGACTAGACTATGGTTATGTGCCAATGACTAGAAACGACTAGAAGTGCCGATGGGATTTCAAAAATTTGAAATCTCATTGGCACTTCTGGTCACTACCCAGCATGGCCGCACGTGGCACAAGTAGGCAGAGAATGCGACCCCACAGCTGATCAATACGAAATTTGTGGATGGCTATCACACGAGTGTCATGCAAAGTAATGGTTTCGAAGATAACGAAATTTGAATGGTGTTATGTGCAATAAATTATTTTCCACAGGGATAAAACCTAACATTTGCAATGTTACAATGGTGCCGGACACAGCATGACGCCACTCAACGCACATCGACACAGGAATTTTAAAAAAATCGGGTATAATATGTCACATAATTTCACATTGTTTTCATATACAACTATGTAAAAGTCATCAATTAAAAAATAGTGTGCAGAGAGTTCTCTTTTTTACGCGGAGGTGAGCGTGTTTTTCTGTTACGCTCGGTGCGCATCCCCACCTCATCGAGCGAACCTTACCAGATCTTTCGCCATGCGAACCCCATCATAGGACCTCCGCTGCCCCCAACCCTCACTCTTCTCGGCGCCCTAGTGCTCCTTGACACGATGCCGCCAAGTTTCCTAAGTTAAATCTAGTTTCCTTTGCATCGACCCCCTGCGCTGCTGCATATTAGAATGTCTTATTACAAATCTGGCAGAAATGTCACACAGTGTTTACGCGACGATGCTGTGACTCCTCAAGATCTCATGTTTGTAATTCTACCTTGCAGGGGCCATCAAACGCACTTCATGGGTGTACTGCCCGCCGCCAAATGTGACCTCGAGGTCAACGGCTCCCACGCGCGACTGGTCGGAGCGCATCCAGACGAGGTCAGGCCCAATCACAACACCTAAGTTGGCGGCGCGGGGTTGTCAGATTGCACCATTGTCGCCCATGCCGTCCTGCCAGCCTTGCGGGCGCAGAGCAGCGGCTCGTACACGCTGTTTGGTCTGTGACGATATCGAGGCAGCCGAGACCTGAGTGGTGTGCCGTCCGGCCGCCGCCTGACGGAGTGGTGTGCCGTCCGGCCGCCGCCTGACGGAGTGGTGTGCCGTCCGGCCGCCGCCTGACGGAGTGGTGTGCCGCGCCGGCCGCCGCCTGACGGTCCTCACCGCTGCAGGTGGCCGTCATGAACGGGCTGACGGTGAACCTGCACCTGCTGCTCATAGCCTTCTATCACCCGACGCCGCTGCGTCACAAGGTGCTCATCGAGGAGAAGGCGTTCCCGAGCGACAAGTACGCAGTCGGCTCGCAGGTGCGCCGCCGCGGCTACGACCCATCCAACTCCGTCATCCAGCTGCGCCGCCGACCCGGCGAGGACGTGTTCCGCACCGAGGACGTGCTCGACCTGATCGCCCGACACGGCCACGAGATCGCCGTCATCCTGATCGGCGGCGTCCACTACTTCACCGGTAAGACCAGCGGCGTCCACTACTTCACCGGTAATACCAGCGGCGTCCACTACTTCACCGGTAAGACCAGCGGCGAGCACTACTTCACCGGTTAGACCAGTGGCGTCCACTACTTCACGGTAAGACCAGCGGCGAGCACCACTTAACCGGTAAGACCAGCGGCGAGCACTACTTCACCGGTAAGACCAGCGGCGTCCACTACTTCACCGGTAAGACCAGCGGCGAGCACTACTTCACCGGTACCTCACCCCGATCCGCCATTTTTCCTAACTTGGACTAGAAGGGAGGTAGTTGATGCGGCCTCCCCCGGTCGTTTTCTAAAGAAGAGAGATGAACTCTGGCAGAAAAGGGCAGTGAAATGGTGTCAGTTGACCTCATATATATCAGCATAGTTGACCTCATTATGCCAGGTCAAAGGTCAAACGATGATGCGGCATAGCGACACTCAATCTTAAGAGGCGAACGTTTTGTTCAACTTTGAATACCAGTGTACGTATTTATTTGTGTCTTGAAGATGCATTTATCGTGTATGATTACGTTAATGTAACAGTGTCGGCCCGCCGCACGCGTCCCGCGGAATCGTTTGTTGCCACTGCCGTCCGCACCAGCCGTGGATCGCCGCGCATAATTTCACAAAAGCCGCTATTGCTCCGAAATTAAAAATGTGAGGGGCACGTTTATGTTGTCAAAACAAAGCAATGAATGTCCCATAGGCTACGGAAAATTGGACTGGTGGAATTTAGTCAGCTGAACATTTTGACGCAATTGCTCACCATGCTAAAGAGGTGTCCTCAGTAAGCCTTAGGGGGTCGCATGGATCTCTTTCTATCGGGATGAGGGTTAAGATCAGGTTCACAAACGATACGACAGGGCCGAAGGGCTTAAAGAGATGGCAATCTGATCTGCGACGAACTATTTTTTCATGATATTTACTTCGGTTTCATTGTTCACTAACCTAGTTTTGACGAACAATAATACATTGTCCTTCCACCTCGCTCCGTGTTTTTTACATGGCGAATGCGCGGTAGGTAAGGAATGCTGCTATCATCATGCACGCACATCATGTAAAATTGCAAATCGCCTTGCATATGGGGTGCAGAATACAGTGTTGCTGCAAACCGTTCCTACCTACGCCAAGCGCGGAGGGCTCAGTGGAGGCGGTGTGATGCAGGCCAGAAGTTTGACATGGAGGCGATCACCAAGGCGGGTCACGCGGCCGGGTGCGTGGTCGGCTTCGACCTGGCGCACGCCATTGGCAACGTCAAGCTGGAGCTGCACAAATGGAATGTGGACTTCGCCTGCTGGTGCACGTATAAGGTTAGTCATCTGGGTTGCAGCAGGCCCGAAGATTTCACCAGCACTGCACTCTTCAGTTTTTACCTGTGGTCATATATAGCATGGTCATATACGATGGCCATATACGCTCCTCCATATAGCGTGGTCATATACGCTCCTCCATATACCGTGGTCATATACGCTGGTCATATACGCTCCTCCATATAGCGTGGTCGTATACGCTGGTCATATACGCTCCTCCATAAAGCGTGGTCATATACGCTCCTTCATAGAGCGTGGTTATATACGCTCCTTGCCGCTTCCAGCATTGACCATACGTGATGCACTGGTCTTGGTGGTTTGCATCAGAACTGAATCGTTAGGCCGTTATCGATATTAGCGATCGGGGGCGGCGGCTGGTGACCGTGTCGTCGGCGCGCCTGTGTTGCAGTACCTCAACTCGGGGCCGGGCTGCATCGCTGGAGCGTTCGTGCACAATCAGCACATGCTCTCGCACCTGCCGCTGCTGCACGGCTGGTGGGGCAACAAGGCCGAGACGCGGTGCGTGCAGACCACGCAGGTCACCGCCTGCAGGCCAAGCAGGTCGCCGCAGGTCGATGCGGATGTGAACGGAGCGAGACGTCTCTGCCGTGCGGGTGCTTGAGGACGAGATCCCAGCTCAGCTATCTGATCCAGCAATAAGGGCAGATTTTTTCGTCAGAATAAAACAATATCAAGCGAGCAACAAACCGTTCATTTTCACTCGGCGTTTATTGGCGTACCCCCGAGCAGAAGACAGGCAGAAATGGAAAGCTGCACCAGCTACATCGCGTTGCTGAGCGCTCATAGCAAGCATGTTTAAAGGTGCCTGGAAGTCAAGAGCCATTGAGAGGAACCCACGCCGACTGACCAGTGTATCGCTGACTGTGCACAGATTCCACATGAGGGACTCCATTGACGCCTCGGTGGGAGTCAACAGCCTGAAGCTATGCAATCCGCCACAAATGTTGGTGGCCATGAACCGGGCCAGCATGGACGTAAGTAGGGGTAACACTTTGTAAAGTCAGTTGTAGGAGGGGGGGGGGGGGCAGCCAAAAAGGTTGATCTAACCTATCCCTAAAGCCTGATTTTTTCCCGGACTTTGCCTACTTGAATTGATGTCCTCAGTGTTAATTTTTTTTTTCATTTTGTAACTCACCTGCCTTCAAACTTGTTTTCCTGCGGAGGGACACCATCCCCTTTCACGCTAATATGAGCTCCTTTTATGAAAAGCCTACAATGGCTTGTAATTATCAGAAAGACGTCTTAGTTAATCTTGATAAGGAATCGCTGATGACTTCCACCATCGCTGATCATGTTGTATGGCCATCAGAGTCACCATTATACGACACGTACACTGTACATTGTGCAAGTACACCTGCCACTGCTGGGGAAAACATGGGATAACTTTTAACTGGGCCACCAGTTAAAGGCTGCAGCATGTTGCAGTCATTGCTCTTAATCTCTATCCAGATGTTATCATTTGAAAATCTGGTCAAACTTTTGACAACTGGGTCAGCACATGAAAGAGCTAGCGTGACAAAAAGATCACATACCTTAAGGCCACTACTTGGTACAAAATAAACACGATACTAATAGTGATATTTATTGCCTAGTACACCAAAAGGTAAAATAATTGTTCTTGATAATTGTTGGCCCAGTTTTCCCTGTTTGCATGGGCATTGGGGGGGGGGGGGGGGGGGGGCTCGGCCAGCATTGGGGAGCTCAGGCATCCCCGAAAGTATACAAAGTGACGCCCCTGGACGTAACAGCAGCCTGCAGCACCGCTCCCGCCGCACCCCGGGGCGGCACAACATCATGGCATCGTGATGAAAGGCGGCCTGGGTCGCTACCGTGTCGGATGCGAGTGTCCTTTGATACGTCATGAATAGTGGTGGTGGCTGCTGCCCATTCAGATCATGGTCCATAATTCACCCGGCGTGAAAGCTTCGATGCCACATTTTTAAAAGAAGTTTCCCGAACGGAAACTATGCCTCGACACCTGGAGCATGGGCTGAGCTCCAGCGCTTCTCAGGACCGACCACATCACCCAGGTGACTGTCAGCGCTATGGTCGTGTTGTTCCTCTGCCTGCTTCAATCCAGCGGGTTCCATCCCTGTCCAGCGTATCGAAACCGCATGCTTACCTCCATGCTCTCTTCGGCACAGATTTTCGACCAGGTGTCGATGGACCAGCTTCTAGAGAAGCAGACGCTGCTGACCGGTTACCTGGAGCTGCTGGCGGCACGCCGGCTGCCCGAGGCATGCCAGATGACGCCCCGTGACCCGCACCAGCGGGGCTGTCAGCTCTCCTTCCGCTTCCCCGATCTGCACGGCGTCCATGCCGAGCTGCAGCGCCGGGGCATTGAGGTCAGTCAGAGACAGAGGTCACCGAGGTCATGGTAACGTGTCAGAGGGTGGCGAGGTTGGTCAGAGACAGAGGTCACTGAGGTCGCGGTGACGGGCCAGAGGGTGGCAAGATCGGTCAGAGATAGAGGTCACCGAGGTCGCGGTGTCGGGTCAGAGGGCGTGAAGGTAGGATGCGGGTCGCGCAGGTGGACTTCGGTCATCGAGGTAGTTCGCAATTAATCAGGTATGCTTTGCTTCGTTTGGATAAGTCGGAGTTAAGCGAAGTGGGCGATCAAAGTGAAAGGTTGTAAGCTAGCACGGAAGGTCCGACCTCACCTGTACGTCAGTGCTCAGAGGTGACCCGTGTGCTGTATATGCAAACAGTGCCTCGTCGAGGTAGGTCGTTGATTGTCAGAGAACAAGCGTCAAGTATCAGGGTGGATCGTGGACTCACAGGTCGTTGAGAGAAATTGTGAACTCGTAAGTCGCAGAAATAGGTCGTCGTCCATCGTAAGCAGTTTGGTTGTGTCAGACAGGGTGGCCGAGCCGGCTGTCTCTCGTCTCCTGTCATGTCTCTATGGACAGTCCATTGGCCGTCCTCCTGTGTCTGTCCGACGGATGTAACCACCAATCCAGTCCTTTGTATCTTTTGTTAGGCTTTGGAACTTCTCAAACTATTCCAGTTCGAAGACGTGACCCATGTGGGCGTATGTTTGTGTTAAATCAAACCAAACCGTAAGGCTGTGAGCAGGGCTACTCGAGAGCTTTCGACAAACCTTTGCGAGCGAGATTATAATGATCAAGGGACATGCCGTGGTCTTGTCACCAGACTTGTGCCTGGCCTCGTATGGATGTCTAATCGACTGGAATCAGTCAAAATCTTGTTGATTGTTAGTGGAATTGGTTCCTTTGAAGTCGTTCTCTTGGTCCAAACCGGAGATGGGTTATGCAAATTCTAGGTGAGACAAATGAGGTGTAAATGTTGGCAATATAATAGATTTATAATCTGATAGCTCGTACTCGCACAATAATGAGCGCATTTGCACATGTCTGCATTGCTATCAAAATAAATACCGTCGTTTTTTAAGGACGGCTGCTTTACGCTGTCACCTAAACCATTATCAATGGAATCTATCCCATCGTAATCTATCCAGAGCTCGGTCCATAAGTCCTCTGGCCAGAATGGAAGGCGACGCCAGCATGCGTCCAGTTGCTAGAGGAGTCAGAGTCTGGGTCAACCGCGTATTGTGGGGCATGGCCAGAATGGGCTGGACTGAAGCAGAACCAAGGACAGTTTGTTTGTCACGAAGTTGTACAACGCCCATGCCGTTGCCAAAGATAAGAGCACCTCCCACTGATACCCAAGGCGAAGATGACGGAGCTAGGGGCTGAAGTAAGATCTCTGGCGCAGCCAAGGGCTATTTCCGCGTCCCAGTGCGTTTCAGCCTGAGGCGAAGAGCAATTCGTATCACGTGCGAGCCCACAGAGAGAGAGAGAGCAGCTGTTAATGTCAACCACCTGGACATGGCATGTCTCAGAGGCCTGGCCTGGCCAGGTCTGTCCAGCCACGATCTAGGCAGGCTTAGATTTTTGCAACCGCCGGTGGTACCGCCTCAAATTCGTCAGCGGCATCCAAGTTGTTTTCTTAAGGTGTGCTGCAGTAAGGTGTGCTCAAGGCAGCGATAGAGCGGATCAGGCATTTTTGCAACGTTGCCATATCACTCATCTTACCTCTATATCCCATTTACATTGGAAACGTAAAATTATTAAATCGCAAAAATCCAAGCGACCTGAGACTGACGAGATTTCGAACAGGTGGAGACGTGACGGCGTGGGAGTGGCTGCTACAGACAGAGGAGAAAATGAACAATCAGACTGGCAAAACTGTGGGTCCATGTGTGCAGAGCAGCACAGACCTTCGTGCGTAAACCATTGACCCGGCCGTCGTCAGGCGTTTTGAGTGGTTTATGCGAGACCTTGTAAACCAAAGGGGGTAGAGACCCCGAGCCAGCTGAACATACAGTGTGGACGAGCGCACCATCTGCGAGTCATTAAAACAAAGGAGGTAGAGACCTCGAACCAGCTGAACATACAGTGTGGACGAGCGCACCATCTGCGAGTCATTAAACCAAGGGAGGTAGAGACCTCGAAGCAGCTGAAAATACAGCGTGGACGAGCGCACCATCTGCGAGTCATTAAACCAAAGGAGGTAGAAACCTCGAACCAGCTGAATATACAGTGTGGACGAGCGCACCATCTGCAAGTCATTAAAACATCTAAACAGGAGCCCTATGCGCCAAGCCCCAACACTACCTATGAGTGCACTATGTGTAGCTGAAGAAAGGACAATACACAAGGAATCTATTGACAAGGAAGGGAAAACCGAGGACCAGTTTTCCGAAACCGGCTGAATTACGTTACGTTGCCTAGGAAACCAGAGGTAGGGGGTTCAATCCCCGCGGTGCGCGCTTTCGGGCTAGGCTGAGAGGCATGCGACGCCATATATCATCAGCAGCTGAGTGTGTCGTAATGCCCCAATAACGACAACTATGGTACGCTGTGGTCTAAGCCGAGAAAGATAGGGTCGTCAAAACTGTCTAGGCGCACAGTCCAGTGTAAGGTGGCCAGCACCAACCACGAGTATTATCACCATTTTCCACCATTTTCGTCACGGTTACCAGAAACGTTAACGCATGAGTCATAACTGAATGGGTTTCAAAAGCTGACGAGTATCATTGGGTTATGTTTATGCATCACTCGCATGGGGATCACGAGCCCCACCCGTTATCGCCCCGCTCGCCCCGCCTCGCAAAACACCTTTTTCTGATGTGTGCTTGTATGCTCGTGTAATGCTCGCGCAACCTGATCAAAGCATAGCCCTGTGGAACGGTGCAACGGCACACCTAGCTCAGCCTCTGAACTCCGTGCAACAATCAGGCAACGCATAATGCTGGACGACAGCGCCGCTGATCCAGCCCGGCTGATTGTTTGGCAGTGTGACCTGCGCTGTGATGAGGGCCTTCCGAGCATCATGCGGATCGCTCCGGTGCCGCTCTACAACTCCTTCTCCGATGTCTTCAAGCTGGTCACTATCATCAGAGAAGCGCTGGACCACCTGGCCAGTCGGAGGGTCGCTGAGCGGAGCGAAGGCGCTCGGACGGCCGGGCGACCGAGCGCTGACCCAGCTCTGGCTGACCCCTGAACTAGCTCCGGATGATCCGCCCCTGTGCCCCCACTCCTGCGGTGAATCAGCTCTGGCCGACCCGCCCCTGTGCCCCCACTCCTCCGCTGAGCCAGCTCCGGCTAACCCGTCCCTGTGCCCCCACTCCTGCGCTGAGCAGCCAGCTCCGGCTGACCTGTCCCTGTGCCCCCACTCCTGCGCTGAGCCAACTCCGGCTGACCCGCCCCTGTGCCCCCACTCCTGCGCTGAGCCAGCTCCGGCTGACCCGCCCCTGTACCTCCACTTTTGCGCTGAATCAGCTCTGGCTGACCCGCCCCTGTGCCCCCACTCCTGCGCTGAGCCAGCTCCGGCTGACCCGCCCCTGTGCCCCCACTCCTGCGCTGAGCCAGCGCCGGCTGACCCGCCCCTGTGCCACCACTCCTGCGCTGAGCCAGCTCCGGCTGACCCGCCCCTGTGCCACCACTCCTGCGTTGAGCCAGCTCCGATTGATCCGCTGCTGTGCGCCGCTCAGCTGTGGCGAGTGGTTGGCGTCTCGGTGCAGCTGTTGACGTTCTGGTGTTATCCGAAGTTTAGTGAGTGCTGCGCTTGTCCGAGGTGAGCAGCTGACTCGCGAACAGCGCTATGCAGCAGCATGGGACCTCGGAGCGCTGTTGACGTTCTGGTGTTATCCGGAGTTTAGTGAGTGCTGCGCTTGTCCGAGGTGAGCAGCTGACTCGCGAACAGCCAGCTATGCAGCAGCATGGGACCTCGGAGCGCTGTTGACGTTCTGGTGTCATCCGGAGTTTAGTGAGTGCTGCGCTTGTCCAAGGTGAGCAGCTGGCTCGCGAACAGCCAGCTATGCAGCAGCATGGGATCTCGGAGCGCTGTTGACGTTCTGGTGTCATCCGGAGTTTAGTGAGTGCTGCGCTTGTCCGAAGTGAGCAGCTGACTCGCGAACAGCGCTATGCAGCAGCATGGGACCCCGGAGCGCTGTGCGGACATTGATAAAGACACGCGTCAGCCTTGACGCCCGCACAGGATATAGTCAGTCATGCAGTCGTGTCATGTCACGACTGACCAGGACACGGGTCGTGCTCATGCTCCACATGGGCATTGGAGCTCGGAAACACATATGAACATTTATCTGTGCCGCACAGCGCACTATGTTTGGCTGCGTCCTCGGCTGGCGCTTGCTTTATCGTGGGTGCAATATTTTGCATTGACTGTGTAATATATTTACCGAAGGGACCGAGTCTGTTCGCTGTTGGTGTCAGCTAAGCGCGCGGATCCCGCTGACCGTGATAGCCATGATGGCTTGCGGAGAGCACGGAAGTGAGAAGGCTTCCATGGCCTGAAATATTAGTGTTCGTGATAGACGGCTCGCGATGCAAACAAGTAGATAGCTGTAAATTATCAAGGATGAATTTAGGTACATATACCATGCCTTATCTACTTTCCTCGGCACACAAATTCCGCAGTCGCTCTCAAAACTATGCAGATGGTCTTCAAAAGAAAAAAGAAGAATGCATCGCAGACCTCTCAGCTTGGGTGGGGGCACGCTAAAGTTACTCGCGCAGTTACATTCCACACACAGCACTCCGTGCCATGTGGGGTGCTGAGCCATCAGGGTTCATGTCTGTGCCTACTCGCGGTCAGATGTCTCAATTTTTAAGCAATCACTGACAAGGATAGCAGGTCCACTACACTTGGTCTGTTAATTGTCATCGCGCCCCCCCCCCCCCCCCAATTCCAGATTGAGAAGAGCGCCTTAGCAGCGTGTCTGCAAAGCTTCCGACAGAATTCCTGTTCCACAAGCCCGGAAGGCTGATGGCACCAGGGCGTGCTGTCTGGTGGTAGGTTAGCGATAATGTTCAGCCTCGTGCCGCAGCCTTGCATGCTGGGTGTCTCGGGGCGCTGAGACAGAGCTAGGTTCGGGATTCATCAGACACTATCAACCAGAATCGTGCCTGGGTTGCGCAGAATCGCAACTGGGACATGCTAGTGGAGATACGCATGCGTGCATCCGTAAACCGTGACCAAGCACCATAAGCAGGTTGAACACCACACAGAAGACCGATCAGTAGCAATGGGAGACTAACCTGAAACTTTCCAATTTACAACTGTCGTGATAGCAGCTCCTGACCACACACGGATGGCATCTAACAAACAATAGCACGCCCAACCACTTCGTCTGATAATTGTGGTCACATGCGCCTCAAATGGAACGACTGCGACACTTGATTTGCCTGTAGTTGCCATGAAGTCACTTCCCTTCAACATTATGTGGCTACCGTCCGATCTTGCCAATGCGTTCTTATCATGCGGACGGCCGATGGTCGGCAGCCTGGGAATGTGTCACGGACCAGCCACGGAGCGAACTACTGCACGGGATCCACTCTGGAAGCAATGTATGAACCCTGACTTGGAATCTAAACGTTGATTGCGCAAAACACTACTTCGTTGTGTTACACGGAAGGCCTGCCTCTTGTCGCTGCCAGACGAACGTTTATCTCACCTCTGCTGAACGAGGAATCCGACAGGTTACACTTGTATTTAAAACGGCAACTAGAAAAACACCACCGGGTGGCGAGTGTAAGACTCTGCCTGATGAGCGTCATTGACCAACACTGCAAGTGAATTTGGATAGTCGACTGAGATAAATAAAACAAATAGAAAGACAAAGTGTACAAAGGGATAAAAGCCGGCAGGAAGTTCACGAGGCACTAGTGAGTGCTTGTCATGACACGTTTGGTATCATATGCAAAGCTGAAAACACCGGGTGCTGACAATATGATGCATGGCTGCCCTATAGCGCCATCTGACTGCACCTCCTGACGTACCAAAGGTCGATAACTCGGCATAGGAACTATGAACTCATAATGCCGGGCATAAGGGTGCACATAGCTTCCTGTTCAGCTGGGGGGGGGGGGGGAGGAAGGGCTGGAGTCCGTCCCCCCCCCCACAACGTTGGAAAGAAAATTGGTCGAATCCATAGAGAAATCCGTTAATGGGCGCTTTGAAGGCAGATTACATCATTGTCCTCTGCACCATCACCCGCCTCTCCCAACTCATTTTGCAAACTACCCCCCAGGCCGAATAGCCAGAAGCTTAAGGTCTTCCTCGCTGATACCATGCATCATAGATTTGTGTCTGGACAAGGTCTACACAATGAGGCTGTTTTCAGTTTTAGGATTTCATGATGTACATGCAGGGTCACGGTCAACGCTGTCGCACAGCAGACACCGTCCGCTGTTAGACGACCGCCCTGCGTGCCCGCTCTCCTCCCTGCCACCAGCGTCAAACGTCGGAGATACCGGAGCCCCGTGCCGCCGAGCAGCCGACGACAGCCAAGGGATTTTGCAAAACAGTTGAGACCTTTATTTTAGCGTCAATGTTAGTTTTTTAGGTACCAGCTTTCGCCAAAGCCTACCCTGAAATTTGTCTGATGCCATCCTGTCCGTCTGATAGCATCACGCTCCGTCCAGTCCCGTCTGATATCCTGTTCCGTCCGTATCTCTGCGGTCTTGTCTGGTTCTTCTGTCTAGTCCCGTCTAGTCTCGTCCCGTTTTTTTCGAACGCGTTCCGTCCCGCAGTGGCACCGGTTTCGGCCGGTGTAGGGGACCAGCGCCCCCTTGGGTCCCAGCTCCGGAAACGGGTGGACAGCACAAGCTGTTCATTTCAGGGCCTAGCGACCCTGCTGGTAGTGAGCCTCTGCTCCTTGTCCGCCCCCCCCCCCCCCGCTCCTTCCTCAGCACCTCTATTCCCGCATCCGGCCCTCCCACCACTCCTCATCCTCCTTTTATCGGGGCCGCCGTGCCCCTTCGCCCGCGTCCCCGGGTTGATCGGATCATGGTGGCTGAGGGTCGGGTCGTGCGGGTCAGTCACGGCACGTCCCAACACTCCACTTTGGCCAGGATATCCGTGTGCGCGGGGGGCCGTGGGGCGGCACACGGGTCCAGCGGTTTGTCGCTCACGCTGCGGCTGGGTGCCCCGTGCGGGTCTCCGCTTGGGAGGTCAGGCCGTGTGCAGCGGCTTAAGGGGTCAAGGGGCGGCGGCGCTGAATTACGGTCATGACGGGGAGGAGTCTCCCCGGTTACACCTGGCCGTGTGGTAGACGTCGCTCGCCCCGTATAGCACCGGGGTAGTCCTGGCGGCGACCACCTCCTTAGGGAATGTTGGGCCGCCTCCCAGTTGGGCTCGGAGGTGGGTGGGGAGCCCCTGTGCCGAATGCATGACATTACTTGCATGGATATCTCATCACCGAAACCCATCAACAGCGGCTCCTCCAACGCGGGCACACCAGCCTGAGCTGGAGACCCCAATGCCACCGAATCTGACTCGCCTGCCCACTCCAAACGCTCGAGTGACTTACGTCGCGAAGCCGACACCAACGCACCATTGCCACACCATCTGATCTTGCAATGCACAAACCCGGATGTCGACGGGAAGCCGAACACACTGAAACTTAAACCCTTCCAGTGCGAGCGGGCCATATCAAAACCGTGCACTCCAAAAGCCGTACGGAGATGCGCGGACGGCACGATGGAGGCATACCTTACCAATGGCGTAGAAATCCGACGCGTGTTAGCAGCGAAGTAACTCACATACCGGGCTAGAGGGAGAGGAGACACCAGCGTGCCGATCGCCGTGAGACCACACCCTGCAGAGAACACTGCGAAAGGAGCGATGTCATGCCGTGACCTCAGAGGAGTGTCTGAGGCCTGAGGAGTGTCAGAGGAGTGTCAGAGGAGTGTCCATGGCCCGGGGAGACATGGAGCTGTTGCCGCCGGACGAATCCAGAGGAGGGAAGGCCTAAAGCTTGTAGACACGGACGCAGTCATCTTAACTTTCTACAGGCCGAATCTCCCGTCGAAAGTATACGTTAGGTATCACGCAATATCTATAAGAATGTACGTGCCTGATTCCGTCCGCTGCTTCAGGTGCTAGGATTATGGACATGTTACTGACATGTCAGAAGGAGGCTAGGTGCATGCGGTGCACTCCGTCCGAGCACCAGTCCTGGGATTGCACTTCTGGGGACATGAAATGCGCCAACTGTGGCGAGCGTCATGCTGCCTCTTACAGGAAGTGTCGTGTTTTCATTGCGGAGAAGGAAGTAATGACGATCGAAGTGAACGAAGGTGTGCCGTTCGGAGAGGCGAGGCGTAGCGTGACGGAAACAGTGGCTAGGAAAAGTTACCGTGATGCCGCACTCACGACCACAAAGCCACCACCGACGCCACCAACCGCTGTCAGCCAGGCCCCTGGCTCCCCCGGGCTAGATGCTTTTAAACACATGACAGTCGGAGATTTCATGCACTTGGTTATAGCAAACCTCAGTGGTTCCGTGTCGGCCTCTGCTACTCCCAGTGCAGAAACTGCTCAGGTAACTGCGGCAGACTGCTCCGCGCCCTCTGGGGCGTCGGACGGGATCCCGTCTGCCTCGACGGCCGTCGGGGACGCCGCGCCGGCCGGCCAACCTACAAACCCCTCTTCGTTTGCCCCTGGCGAGACGAAAGGAGAAGACCACTGGACTACAGTCCAGCGACGCCGGGGATCCCGCTCCCCTGTAACCACCGTCGAACCCACGGACACGGCGTCACGCCAAACTTCTGCCGTTCCCCGACACGACCTGGTGCATGCCCCCGCAACGAGTCCACCAGCACAACGTGCGTTCGTCCGACCGGCGGCCCTAGACCTCGGGATTGTGGTACGCGCGGTCCTCTCCGCACCGGGAACGGCGGCCCCAGGCGCGGTGAGAGCATGTCTCCCAAGGGCGGGGCCTCCAATCTCACCGGGACCAATGGGCCCGCTCCGTGTGCCACCGCCTAACGTATGAGGGCGGAGCCCGTCTACATCATCGTCTCCATCAGCGGGAGACCGAGACGCTGCCTCCGAGCGCGCCCACCCTGGCCGGTATCGCCGACAGAGGGTGGCAGCCCGAGGATCCGTCCGAAGAGCCAGTCAGGCCCTGCCGGAGCTGGAGGTGCGAAGGCCACCGAGGACCCGTCCAAGCAGCCAGTCAGGCCCTGCCGGAGCTGGGGGGTGCGAAGGCCACCGAGGACCCGTCCAAGTAGCCAGTCAGGCCCTGCCGGAGCTGAGGGGTGCGAAGGCCATGCAGTTGGCCTAGCCGTTCTTTGCAGAAGTAGGGCCCCCGGCATTTACAAAAAAAACTGGGCGGACTAGCGTATTAACTCTAGGACACTAATTTTACAGTGGAACTGTCGGGGCTTGAAAGCCGAT